CCTTGAAGCTTGCTGAGGGTAACTTCCTCCTTGTTCATATGATATGTCATTCGAAAATGATCATAACAAGAAGGCAAGGAGTGCAAAATGATGTCAATTGCCAACTCCTCGGGGATGTTAACATTCAGCTTCAGCAAACGGTCCACATACCTTTGCATCTTTTGCATGTGGCCCGTGACGGATTCACCGTCCTTCATGCGGGTAGTTATTATGGAGGAGATTATTTCATACCGCTCCTGACGAGCACTCTGATGGTACCTTTCCATCAGGTCTTGGTGCATCTCAAAAGGGTAGAAATCTTCATACGACTTTTGGAGCTCGGCTGTCATCGTGGCCATCATGATACATGCCACCTTAGTAGCATCTCTCTCATGAGTCCTGAATTCAGCGATCTCCTCAGGAGTAGCAGTAGACTCATCAAGTTCTTTTAACTCCTTATCGAGGACATATTCCTTGTCCTCGTAACGAGTAACCATCCTGATGTTCCTAATCCAATCCATGAAGTTGGAACCATCAAAGATGACCCTCCCACAAAGATTCATGAGAGAGAAAGAACCAGTTGGGTTAGAGCCTGAAGCATTAGTGTTGGAAGACATCTGAAAGAAGAAAGTAAGTTTAGATTAGATATTTAGGATCCTTAATAAGACACCCAAATGTAATATTAAGGCTAGGATCCAATCACAATATATTACACTTAGAAGAGGGATGCCGTAATCTAAGTAATAATATATTTGAAAGGTAGGTGAATGACGATTCACCAATTTCCACCATGAAAACGAAATGATTTATTAGGTTTAATTGGATTTGAAATTCCTAGATTCTTTTGAGATTCATTGAACTTTTCAATGGCATGTTTCAATCTCGATTGTGCCCTTCAAGTTTTGTGACTGGGATGCCGAGGATCACAAAACAAGGTGTGAATAACCATGCTAATTCACTTGGTACTCTTAATATTATCACCTAATCAATGTGCCGGTTAACCACACACGCTCCATTGATCTATGACAAACATTAAGTCACCCTTCGTGATCCTTACTAGTCCTAGTTAGTGTGCCGGTTAACCACACACGCTCCACCAACGACTTGGTAAGGTACAAAGTGTGAATTCCATGGACTAGCACCATGTTCACATTTTCCTAAAATAACTAAGATTGGGAATTAAAAGAGTTTAGTTATTTTATAATATTCATTATACTTTTAATGAGGATTTAAAGTCATTGTTCTACCCGTTCGGCTAACGACCCTCCACCGATCAAGCAAGCGGTGGGTGAGAGTATACACCCATTAAGTCGCCATTTTATAGGCAACAACCTTATACCCACCTTATAGACCGGCTTCGTGAATGAGGCCTACTAACGGTAAAACGACTTATTCTTATACATATATATAATAATTAACCATTAATGTTATAAATAGTATAAGGGTTGAATTTTAACTATTAAAACTCTAAGGTTTGGAATTAAAGTTTATTAAAGTGTGTGAAACTTTACAAATTCCAAAACTTGAGGGCAAGTTTTGTAACTTTGCAAAACTCTTCATTTCATAACTTATGAATTAAAGGTTCATAAAAATGAAGACTCTTCATTTTCATGTAACTTATGTGTTTTAAGTGTGTGTTAAATGAAAGTGACCTTTGGTAATCCATAACTTGAGGACAAATTATGGACTCCATTAAAACACATAAATGATAAAGAATTAATCCTAAACAATTCAGCAAATAATTCCTATCATTTTCTAAATTCATAAGAACATGAACATGATCATCAAAAATTCAAGAATTATATGAACACATAAAATCATGGAATTTTGATATATGCTATTGTAAATGGATTAGAACAACCATTACACCAACTAAAATAAGTTTTATAACACCAAAACAGTTTAGGGTAATGTTTCTAGTCCATTTCCAGCAGCAAAAGTCGAGATCTGCATTCTTTCGATCCTACTCGTCGAGTGCATGAACTGACTCGTCGAGTAGGTTGAAGTTTGCCTTGGACTCGTCGAGTCCCCCCAATGGACTCGGCGAGTCCACCATGCAGACAGCAACGATTTCGACTTTTTTCACTATTTTGCATCAAGTATCAAACAAGCAAGCCTAGGCTCTGATACCACTGTTGGGTTTTGAGCAATCTAACACTTCCTAAGTGTGCATGCAACCCTAATAAACCTTGGATCTATGTTTGTCTAAATACATGCAAAATAATAATTTTCCAAGGTTTATAACCTATCTAACATGGCATGGGGAACATTTCAACATAAAAGAGTTAGAAGAGATTACATACCTTTTGGTGAGTTTGGTTCTAAGGAGTTTGAGGGCCAAGCACCAATAGTGTGAATGCCTCAAATGGAATCACAAACACCACAAACTCTTGGAAAACTTTGAGAGAGTATACACCTTGTATAAAATCGGCCACACACATGCACACACACACTAGTTCACTAGTTTTCTCTTAGGCTCCATTTCATGCTCCATAAGCATGCTTATATAGTATGCATGGTTAGGGTGAAACCCTAATAACCCATGTCTTTTCCTTTTCCAAGGATCCATGGGTTAAAAGCTCCATGGATCATCCATGGACTTCCACATAAGCCTAGCCCATTAACAAATGAGTATTAGCCCACACTATATAAAACAAATAGCCCATAATTTAATTAGTATTCCTTTTAATCTCTAAATTAATTCATAATTAATTTAAGACTAAAACTAATTAAATAACGTAACTTCATATTAATATATTATAACTCATAATATATTAATAAACATATGTGTATAACTCTCATAAAATTATCCATAATAGTTTGGATGAGATGCAACCCAAATGGACCATGCCGGTCGGGTCAAGTATATACCAAATAAGTTATGGACTTAGACACCTTATCCAACAGATATATGGGCCATTGGTCAATATGGTAGTTGCTTATGGTGTATATGGATGAAATACGGGTCATTGGTCAACATGGTAGTTGCTAATAGTGTACCATGGATGAAATATGGGTCATTGATCAACATAGTAGTTGTTTATGGTGTTTGTGGATGACATATGGGTCATTGGTCAACATGGTAGTTGCTTATGTTGTACCATTGATGAAATACGGATCATTGGTCAACATGGTAGTTGATTATGGTGTCCATGCATGACATATGTATGACATTTAGTCCATTTATGGTAGTTGCTTATAGTATCCATGGATTAAATACGGGTCATTGGTCAACATGGTAGTCGATTATGTGTCCATGGAGAATATATGGGTCATTGGTCAACATGGTAGTTGCTTATGGTGTGATGGTATCACCCATGGATGAAATACGGGTCATTGGTCAACATGGTAGTTGATTATGGTGTCCATGGATGACACATAGGCCATTGGTCAATATGTTAGTTGCTTATGGTCTCCATGGATAAAATACGGGTCATTGGTCAACATGGTAGTTGCTTATCGTGTACCATGGATGAAATACGGGCCATTGGTCAACATGCTAGTTGCTTATGGGGTCCATGGATGACATATAGGTCATTGGTCAACATGGTAGTTGCTTATCGTGTACCATGGATGAAATACATGTCATTGGTCAACATGTTAGTTCTTTATGGTGTCCATGGATGACATATGGGCCATTGGTCAATATGGTAGTTTCTTATCTTGCCCATGGATGAAATACGGGTCATTGGTCAACATGGTAGTCGATTATGGTGTCCATGGAGGACATATGGGTCATTGGTCAACATGGTAGTTGCTTATGGTGTCCATGGATGACATATGGGCCATTGGTCAACATGTTAGTTGCTTATGGTGTACCATGGATGAAATACGGGTCATTGGTCAACATGGTAGTTGCTTATGGTATCCATGGATGACATATGGGCCATTGGTGAACATGGTAGTTGCTTATGGTGTACCATGGATGAAATATGGGTCATTGGTCAACATGGTAGTTGCTTATGGTGTACCATGGATGAAATACGAGTCATTGGTCAACATGGTAGTTTCTTATGGTGTCTATGGATAACATATGGGCCATTGGTCAACATGGTAGTTTCTTATGGTCTACCATGGATGAAATATGGGTCCTTGGTCAACATCGTAGTTGCTTATGGTGTCCATGGATGACATATGGGCCATTGGTCAACATGCTAGTTTCATATGGTGTACCATGGATGAAATACTAGTCATTGGTCAACATTGTAGTTGCTTATGGTGTCCATGGATGAGATATGGGTCATTGGTCAACATGGTAGTTGCTTATGGTGTACCATGGATGAAATATGGGTCATTGGTCAACATCGTAGTTGCTTATGGTGTCCGTGGTTGACATATGGATGACATATGGGTCAATGGTCAACATATATCATTTGTGCCGGTTGTGTATTAAAATTTAAAATTTTCAAATAATTAATTTTGTAGGAAATATTAATTTTTTTAATAATTTTATTAATTATTTAGGGTCTCCAATTAATCTCCGCTGAGTCTGATTAATCGTTTATCGCAAGTCAACCGCATAGTGACGAACGAGCGATTTTTACAACCTTGATTAAAATAGAAAGTGATTTTTCTTTTAAATATGACTTTTTACAAAACTATCCTTACTAATTAAATACGAGTCATTGTATGTATTAGGACAATTTGGTCATTTTATAATGGAACAACTTCTAGGCGCCATAATGTTTTCCGACGAAACATGGTGTTTTGGTTCTTCATTCTTATTTCAGTCACTTGCAAACAACCCCGATTTCATAATTCCGACAGTTAAAAAACCCTAAAATCATATTCGCAGAATCGTTATCGTAGTGAATGCTTATTATTATGGAAGCTAGTACTTCTTCTAATAATCAATCAAGAAATCAAACGAAATCGCTAACATACATGCCATTTGAAGTGATGGAGAAAATAATAGTCGACTTGGCAAAAATTTCAGTAGTCGAGGCTTTTAGGATGAAGAGTGTGTAAGTTTTTCCTTTGATCATTCTATTTCACAAGTGTATTTGAGTTGTCTTTACCTTATGGAGCGAATATTGTCTCTCGTTTGCAGTTACAGATTCTTCAACGAGGCAGGAAAAACAGATGAAGTATATAAACATATGGAGTTAGATGGATTAAGATTTCGTGTTTGGTCTGACCAGAAATATGCAGTTGTCAATAAATGCATAGAGATGAGAAACCCAAATATTCTATTCAGGAATGGATTGGTACGTTGTTATATATATGCATAGTAGTAATTAGTATGTTACTTTTTTTGCATAATTTTAACTAGAAATTATGTGTTTAATGTTTTTTCAGATGAAGTTATTTTTCTTAGAAGCTGAAAATGAAGGGAAAATAATGCTTGAAGAAGCATCTGCATTGGGACATTTGGATTCAACATTTGTCCTAGCAATGATGTTGATGGTTGAAGGGAGACATAGGAAGCAGGAAGCTTTGGACATGTTGAACAATGCTTACCGCATAGCAAATGGTAAGTGGAATCTTAGAGCAACCTGTTCTAAGGTTCATCTCCACTTCAATTGGGAGGGGAGGAACCATGTACACTTCCATGGCCTCCATAGATCTTGTGCATTGCATAAGTCTGTAGTTAGTGTGTCAGATGCTTTTGTGGATGGATATGAATGGGTGTTTATGTGTGAAATTTGTTTATGGGATGCTTGTTTTGTTAGGTTTTCTAGGGAGTTTGGTATAACTTATGAGTAGTTTGTTGATATGTACTTTCATATTATGACAATTAATGCTTTGTAGATTCTTTTGGTTTAATATACGAATATAGAGTAATTTACATGATAAGTAATTATTTGATGTTTTTACTTGATTAGTAAATATGTTGTGTTGTTAATAAGGGACTAAAAGAGTTAAAGTTTGGAATGATATTTGAATGATGTTTAAGTAATGTTTGAATAATGTATTTTGGACTTTTAATATTAGCGTTTATATTGTATTGTGATTATAGTCGTATGTAGCAAATTTTTGTTCTTTCCTATTATTAAATACATATAAAATACAATTGTAAAGGCATAAAGAAACATGTATTTTATTTTGGACTTGGTAATTTGGTTTAATATCAACTAGTGGAGAACCCATGCTTTGCATAGGGTAAAATTGTAAAGGAATAAACATAGGGACTAAAAGTGGCAACAAAGAAAAAGTATTGTGGCTAAAATCAATGTAAAAAAAGTTACTATAAACATAGGGACTAAAAGTGGCAACAAAAGAAAACTATTGTGTCTAAAATCTAAAGTAAATAAGTTTACTGTTAAAATCGTGTTTCACTTTTAATATGTATATTACTACATGAATATATACTAGTAATTTGGTGAAATGTTAATATAAATGTATTACATTATGGATTATGATATATATGTTATTTTTGTCTTTTTCATTTCAACAATCAAAAGTCCAACGTTACCTAGCTATAAAAGGCTATAATATTTGAATATGTGTTTTGACACAAATACCCTTAGTATTCAAATATTTGGAATGATTTCAGGGGCAATTTGGTCTTTTTGCACTCTAAATTGTTAAGGCGTCATCATACCTCTGACGTCACGCTGGCGTTCTAGTTCTTCAACCATTCAGAACATCTCAACTTTTCCGGACGATAAATCTGCCTACAAACACTAAAACTTCCAAATCGTCGAAGGATAATCGTTCTCAAAAACGATTTTCTCTGATAATAGAAACTCCTGTACTCCTCTCGATCAGATCAGCATAAAGTAAGTTTTTTTTCCATACCCTATTACACTGTATTTTATAGTTACGCTTAATTGTAAAAAAAATTGAAATCAACTACTCCAATGTGTATTTTGTAAGTAGAATGTTGAATACTAGAAGTCGTCGTTCTTTAGATGATCTCCCACTAGAGATTTTGAGTCGGATATTTGTAGTATTAGGGTCAGAATCTCCGAAAGACATCCTCTCTGCAAAACTTTGGTAATTCTCAATAAACATCAACTAATGAATGTATATTTGATGAAATAAAACTTTATTTGTTTGTTATTTACTGTGTATTTAAATTTTTGAAGTTCAAAGAAGATGTATGAAGCAGGGGGTGATCCTCAAGTGTACAGAACAACATCAATTAACATGTTTGAAGGAATGGTTCCCAAAAATCTGAAAGCTGATTTATTTATACGCACATGTGCATTACATAATAACATTAAAGCCATGTTCAGACAAGGAATTGTATGTGTAGCTTCAGTAAATATATGTAATCTATACCATTTATTAATATTTAGTGTCATTGATGTTATATATTAATATTGTTATTCTATCAACAGGATGAGTGCTTTGATTATGGCAATTTTGATTTAGGAATGACTTTGTTGAGACAAGCAGTAGATGAAGATCATCTTGAGGCAATTTATTTTCTTGGAATGATCTACATTTCACGAGGGCCTCATCGATGTGATGAAGGTATGTATATATGGTATATATTTAAATTACATTATATATATAGTTAATTAAGGCATGTTTGTAGTTTAGGGTTAGTATTTAGTTGTGTTGTGTTGTATAATATTTACTGTTTTATTGAAAATAGTACATTGGATTAATTGATGGATATTTTAATGTGTAGGTTTACAATTACTTGATGTCTATTTTGGCTAGGTAGTTCCAGATAATGGGGAGTACACGAGTGTTGTTGATAGTCCCAAAGAGTTGTTGCAGGCTATTGATGTTGTTCATAGACTTACAACGAATAATATCACATTCCAATGTGAAGACCCACATCATTCTGTTAAAGGTGCATTAGCAATAGGCCACGAAGAGGATGAGGATCGACAAAGATACTGCACGGTTTGTCGTTGGTATGTAGAGTATGGTAGGTTTTGTATATTTCTTAAAAATATTAATGGTTGATAATAGAATGGACATTGAATATTAGTGTTCTTATTGTATTGTATATGAAGTTGTATAGTACTACTATAATTTTATTTTGGTTTTGTGTTTACATCATTCTGTTAAAATGGCATTTTAGTCATTTTTGCTTGCTATGTTGTTTGAGTAGGATGAAGTATACGTAAAACCCATGTTATTTTTGTGATGAAGTGTAGTTAATGTAATTAAAAATAAGTTTGTAATGAATTCGTTATTAAGGAAAATTAATCTACATAGATTATATATACTTTAACATGCCCGGTTAATGTAATTAAAAATAACTTGTAATGAATTCATTGTTAATTATTCATTATATACTATGTTTTCAAGAAATTATACACAACTTGATTAGCACAACTGGCTTAATCGCGCCCTTTTCTAGCATAAGCATAAGTTCGAATCTGCTTGCCAGTAATATCTACTTTATAATTCATTTTTACATTTTTTATCCATTAGTTTATGCCACATATTACCAATTCAAAAACATTTATTCAAACCATATCTTAGAGATTCCATTGATCATAATAATAATTCATCCATAGTATAAGAAGATTACTTAAGCATACAACATCCAAACAAATGTCATCACAAATTAGCTACGCGTTTTGTTCCATAACAAAACAAGCAAACGAAATCATATTCCATAGCAGAATTCCCTAACAAATACCTACGAATGGTACCTTCGTAGCAATTCAACAATGGAATTGGTTTCCGTCACAAACTTCGTTGCATAGTAACCACGATGATGAATTCCATAGTAGCAGTACAACAGAAAGTGATTTGGTAACAAATGTCAGTGGAAAATTGCTACGAATTTTTGTTCCATAGAACTATCGGTAGCATAATACCAACGGATATGGAGTCGGTAGCATTTTCCCTAGCAACTCCCACTCTCGCTACCAAAAATAAAATTTGTAGACAATGTGGTAGCAACATTGCTATGGAACGACATTCCATAGTACGATCCATTGCAGATTAACAACGAAAATACGTTCCATAGCAATCCTCCCTAGAAAAATCATGCTTTTCTTGTAGTGAAATAACCAGATAGACTTTGTATTATACTATTTATATTACACAAAAACATCCAAAGTTTTAGATATGACCTTTCAAGTATTGAACATTGAAATTATGAATAAAATCATATAAAATATTTCATTATACATAAATCTCATTAAGGGTTTTAGTATATTGATTAGTAAATATGATATTGGTTTTCAAACACATTTTTGGAAAACCTACATTTGACTTTGTTAGTACACCGAGAACCCCCTTCCGTACTTTGTACCTAAAAACCTAAAATAAACAGGTTATACAAATAGATTATACAAAGCATGAATCAAAATAATTACAAAGGTAGTTAGATATTCTCAACACCGGTTAACGATCACCTACCTCTTTAGTGTTATCGATTCTAGTATCTAAAGTTGAACTAACCCTACTACATATGCATTCTTTTCCAATTTCATGCAATTTCCATAACAAATATTAAAAGAGAAGAGAAAAAATGTAACATCCTAGTTGCTTAAAAATTTACCATTACAATGTGATAATCATAACCAAGATCATATTAGTGATCATGAAGAAAAGTTTAACCAAAGTGAAAAATATTAAAAGATACGACGCAATCCCCAATGGAGTAAAGGAATTCTTGGGTGCTAATAACATTCTATAAAACCATAACTTTAAGAGAAGAAAAAGAAATATTAGTAGAAAATCATGGAAGTAAGGTTATTATATAGCCAAAAACATTTCTATGTTTTATTTCTGATTATATTAGTTGTATTTGTATGTAACTCATATTATGGACATTTTAATAGTAAAATAAAAACGTTTCAACTACCAATCAATGACTTAGTAATTATAAAATATAAGTTAAAAAAACTCTTGAATGGTAATCATTCATTACTTGAAAGGTGAAAATTTGTGAATATGGTGCAAGAATAGACTTATTTTGAACCATATTCATTATATAGCTTTCTATGATTTTTAGAAATTTCACTATTATCTTTCTCTTACATCAAATATTTATGTCGAACACCTATCATGCTATATATATTATAGTTGCAAATGAAAATTATATAAGAGAAAATGATGGTGAAATTTCTAAAATATTGGAAATAAATCAAGTTAGAATTTGAATTTTAAAATTTTTGGATAATTATAATGCATATATGATACAAAAGTAACGTAGTATGATCGGTTTGGGTACCTAAACCTATATACCTTCTAGGGTATATTCATTTTTTATATATATATATATATATATATATATATATATATATATATATATATATATATATATGTTAGGTGCGAGACTTGTATATTATACGTGTTTATCAAAAAACTTAATATCAACTTGTAAATATTAAACAATTATTAAAGTAATACTTTTACATAATTAAAAATACTTTGTTGAATAAGTATGTAATTGAACTCAATGTATTAAAATTAGTAATTAGATATTCTAAATTATTATTATAAATCACAAATTTCCAATTACTTCTTTGAACATAATATTAGAAGTTTTATTGGTAAGGTTACTACTATTGTCTTAAATTTATATTTTCAATTTGTCTTTGCTTTTAACTCTGGAAAATACAACGTAAAACTGCCCATGAGTAAACATTAGTTGTCTAAAAAACAAACCAATATTTGATAGCGATTGTCCTTAACTTTTATTTATTGTCATGGAAAAACATACATCAAGTGAAAATTATCTTCTTTGAAATGTGAAAGTAATCATTTTATCTGAAAGAGTCAATGACATTCTTGGAATAAATATGCAGTTTAATATATTACTTCCAGAACTTATCTCTACT